GCACAGTGAAGTTTTCAAAAATTTGAGCAAATTTCACTTAGTGCAATCGATTGCATTGTTACAGCAATCGATTGCACGTTGTTACAGACAGCAAAGCAACATTTTAAAAGGCTAAATCCTTGTTCAAACTTTCCATCAAACACCTTATGATCATGAATCCAATTGAGCACGAAAATTCCATCAAATTATGAGAAAATAGCACCATTGAAATCACAAAATAATGCTCAATGAATCAACCCAAAGATCAACAAGAGATCACATTGTGAAAGATGGAAAATCCAACTTACCAAAGGTAGATCTAGAGAATTATCAACACAACTTCAAGAATTTGCTTCAATTCAACCCCAAGAATCAATTGCCAAGCTTGGATGTAGAGAATTGATGAAGAAAAAGTGTTTGGATGAAGGTTTATCTCAAAGATTAGTAAGCTTCAATGCAAAGCTTACTAACTTTTCTTGAAAATGGAGCTTTGAGTGAATTTGGTAGATGGAGAGAATTGAGAGATTTTTGGCAAGGTGGATTTGGCTATCAAAATCTTGAAATTTGAATGAAATGAGAGCTCTATTTATAGAGTTTTAGGATTGGGATTAGTGGTAATTTGGTAATTGATTCTTGGAGCCAAAATTTGAATTAATGATAATTCTTTCAAAAATTAGGGGAAAATTGGAGCCAAATTTGACAAGCTTGAAATTGCTGATTTTTTTTTCAAATTTTCACACTGTGCAATCGATTTCACTACATTGCAAATCGATTTGCACAATGTATTTTTTCAAAAATTGCACAAAATGCACTTTGTGCAATCGATTGCACTCTAAGAGCAATCGGTTGTACAGTGAAAAAAAATGAATTTTTTTAATTCTTTTTCTTTGCAAATAGAGATTTTAGGGAAATAATACCAGAAAACCTTATTTGCCATATTCTTCGACTCGCTACCTACAAAACACAAATATGCAAAGACAAAGACAAATATTTTTTGTATTTTGATTAGAAGTTAGTCAACAACACAAGGGCAAACTTAAAGATAGGATGCAAATATGATGAATGAAGCTATTTATTAATGATTGTGACTGAATGACAAAATATGATATGAAAGTGTGACTGAAGAAGTTGGGGGAGAAATTTAGGGTACAACATATAGGACCCTAAATGTTATTATTGTTAAAGATGGGTTTACCATTCACTCAATTGACAAGTTATTGGATGAGTTAGGTGTTGCGTCAAATTTTACCAAACTAGATTTGCGTTCGAGTTATCATCAAATTAGAGTTACTTTGGAAGATATGCATAAAACAAATTTGAGGACTTTCGATGGTCATTACAAATTTCTCATAATGCCATTTTGGATCACTAATGCCCCATCGACACTTCAATCATCAATGAACAATTTACTACATCCATATTTACGCTTGTTTGTTCTTGATTTATTAATGATATCCTGATTTACCATTCAAATTTGAGTGATCATTTAGTTCATTTAAAGATTTTTTTTAACTTGTTAGAGTCTAATTTTTTTGTTAGAAAATTATCTAAGTGTGTTTTTGTAGTTGATAAGGTTAACTATTTAGGTGTTGTGATATATGATGGGGGAAGTGTCCTAGATCCAAAAAAAAAGGTGCATGCTATTTCGGATTGACCTAAACCTCATTCGCTCATGGCTCTCCGAGGATTTTCAATATTTATCACTTTTTATAGGCCCTTTGTGCGTTACTGTGCCACTCTTTCCGCTCCACTCACTGGTTTGTTGCATTCCATTAAGTTTTCTTAGAGTATAGAGGCAGTCGTAGCCTTTACAGAGTTAAAGAATAAATGACCAACATGTCAGTGCTGGACTTGCCAGACTTTACAAAATTATTCATTATGGAAATAGACACTTCAGGAGTAGCTATTATTGTAGTGTTGTCTCCGGATGATCAACCTTTCACATTCTTCATCTAGAAAATTTACCCTCAAATGCAAGTCTTTTATGTTTATGTGCATAAAATGTATGTTGTTACATGAGTAGTAAAAAATGACGTTAGTATCTTACTAGTCAACATTTTTATATTTACATTAATCAAAAGAGTCTCATGAATTACTGCTCCAGAAAATCCAAACACCAGAACAACATAAATAGGCCTCAAAATTACAAGGATTTAACTTTGATATTTTTACAAACCTGGTAAATTGAATCTCTTAGTTGATGCTTTGAGTAGGAAATTTAGTTCTAAAGAATCTTTGTTGTTAATTGTGTCCCGACCACTTCTAGATCTCTAAACCGCACTCAAACAATTTTGTACAGAAGACAGTGAAGGTTAGAAGTTGGTAGGACATATGGAACAAAATGATAGTGAACACAAGTTATACAAGTTTTCGAAAGGACTATTATAATATAAATGTATAATTTTTGTACCTAACATCCAATGGCTTCACAATAGCGTTCTACATGAGTATCAATACACTCCCACAATAGGTCATTCTGGTGTTAAGGCTACCCTTGCACGTTTTTCAGCTTCTTTTGCTTGGCCTGACCTCTATCTTGAAGTAAAGTACTTTGTCAAGCACTACTTTGTTTTCCAACATAATAAAAATCAAACTCATAAAAAGAAAGGGTTGTTACAACCTCTACCAATACCAAATCAAATTTGGAGAATTTACCATGATTTTTTCACACATTTACCAATCTAATTTGGTCATACTTGTTAAACATGTAACTCCATACATAAGATGGGGTGAATAGTATAGGCTTAAAAATCTTTAATGTAAAACAAAATCATTTTCAAAATCAGAGTTTGAAAATATTTTATCAAACATTTGAATAAATATTCAGTGAAAATTCAAAGTAAAGAAATTAAATAAAAAGTAAAAGAGATAAAGTAAAAGAGATACACTAGAGATTTATAGAGATCCTATCTTATCATAAAATTGGTAAATTTAATACTTATAAGTAGGGGTATTTGTTGTGCAGGTTGAATCGGTTTTAATATTAAAAATGATTTGATCCAAAGATAAATTACTCGCGGTTTGATTTAATTTTGGATGACTAATTAAAAGTTTGATTCAATCTTATCTAATTTCATACACTTTAATGTAGATTGATTTTTGGATATTAAATTACAAATTACAGGTTCTTTACTAATATTTTAAAAATACTATAAAATCATAGATTTGAAGTTATATATATATATATATATATATATATATATATATATATATATATATATATATATATATATATATATATATATATATATATATATATATATATATATATATATATATATATATATATATATATATATATATATATATATATATATATATATATATATATATATTAAAAATTAAAATTACAAAAGAACAATGAACGATTATGTTTAAGATAAATGAAATATTAAAAATAAATAATTAATAAAATCAATGAATAACATTAAAACAAATAAAATATTAATAAATTATAAACTAATTTAATAGATTACATTTATAAAAAATAAAAGTATTAAAATATATAATTGCAATCTAGTTTGGTTTGAATATTTTGAAAAATCAATTTAAAATTCGTTTTGATATTAGTGATTTTCATAAAAGAGAATTCAAACAAATTTATTAATATTTTTTTTTAGGTTTTTGACTTTTTTTTAGTTGAGTTGTGATTTTGATTTTCATCATTTTAAATTTAAAAAGCTTTTGTGTTATAAGCGGTTAGGATTGAAAATGAACTGAACAAATTTAAAAATAGTTTTGAATTCAATTTGATAATTAAATCGTTGAACAAGATTCATAAATCTAATAAGTTGAATATGAGTGAAAAATTAAATTCATTAATTATTATTAAGAGTAAGTTTAAGGATTTGCTTTAAATCTAAGTTCTATATATTTTTTTAATCTAACGATTTTAATTGATAATTTATTTCCTCAAACAAAATATTTCTAAAATAATTATATAAATAAAATCAACATCAAATATGTAATTTTTGAATCATCCAATTTTTTTTACACAATTAAATTAGGCTGATAACATTTATGTTATTTAAATATATTTTTTAAAATAATATTAATTTAAAATGTCAAATATATATATAAAAATTAGATTTTAAAAATATTTTTAAATCCATGAAACAAGCTAGTTGAACCTAACAAGATAAACCTAATAAGTCAAACTGAGTTATTGCTGAGGTTATATCGAATTGAGTTTGAATTTTAAAAAAAAAAAATTGTGTCGAAGTCAAATCAGATTTGTGCTAAACCAATTTTAACGAGTCGAGCCGACCTCAAACGCGACTTAAGTTGTAAATAAGTTGTTTATCCAAACATATATTTCTAATGCAAAAACTATTGCCAGGAATTCAGCTTCATTTGGAACCTCTCATACCCTACTGAAGCAAAGCAGCTAATATCACTTTAATGAAACCTTCAACATTTGGATTCTAAGGATGATTTTTCTGGTTTTTGAAATATTGAATCAAATGAATTTGTGAAAATTGTCTTCACCCAACACCTACTACATGTTTGATGTAATGCTAATTAGACCCACTTTCTTTTGACATACCCACCTCTTCCATGTTTTGAAAATATTTTCTATTATGTTTGTGAGTTCATCTTTACATTCCCATCTATACTCATAGGACAATGTTTTATCAACTAATGGAAATCATTATTTTTTTCAACTAATGCCAAATTCCAAGCGATCTTTTATTGGATTACATATGCTGTTTTCTAAGAACTAGATGCATGCATCATTTGCTAGATATTGGTTTCATGAACAAAATAACTTCCAGTTTGAATGGCTTTTTTATCTTGCTTTTAAGGATCACAAGACGTGTTTAGCAAACAAATCTACACAAAAATTCAAACTCAAAGTCTATAACTTAAATGTATCTGGACTTTTTCATATAGAAAATTAGCTAGGAAGGCTAAAATAAAGAAACACAACTTTTACAAATGCCCCTAGAATGCCTATCTTACTCTCACATAAACTTTAATCACATAACTATCAATAGAAAGTATATAAGTTAATAATTCAACTATGTATGATTTTCATTTTTGGAAACACCATTTTCTTCATCCATCTTTGACTCAATCTTAGTCTCAAGTTTTTCCTTCTCCTTTTGTGCCTTTGCTATGTCATAAGATGCATGTACTCCTACAAGCAAGTAATATACCACCAAAATTGCAGTCCAAACACCAAATCTCTCAAATGATTTCTTATCTAATGTCCCGAGAAGGAAAACATTGATACCAATTGATGTGGACGGCAAAAATGGCACAAGAGGTACACCCCAAATCTTCGGTTTCTTTGCAAGCGGAACAAAAAACCAGATGCCGAATGTCCCTACAAACCAAATCGGTACTAGTATAGTGTAACCAATCCACCCAGTAGTTTGAGACCAATAAATTGAACACCCAATCGAAGATCCTAGTATGAGAAAAATGAATCCAACAAACTTCATAACATCAAACTTGGAAGTAACACCTCTAACATAATACCTTCTGACCAAAAGGGCCAATGCCACAAGTGAAAAAAGGAACAAAGTTGAAATTGAAAGTAAATTAGCTAGAACATCAAGGCTTGTGAAAAATGCAACTATAGCAGTTGCAATAAACATAGCAAAAGTTGCATTAACTGGTGTCTTAGTCTTTTCATTCACTCTTGCTAGCCATGAAGGTAACAAGTGTGTTCTTGCCATGTGTGTAAGATACCTTGCTTGACCAACTGCTCCAACAAGAATAACACTTGTCATTCCTTGCAATGCTCCAATTGCAACAATGTATTTAGCCCATTTCAGTCCAACAGCTTCAAATGCAACAGAAAAGGCAGCATCTTTATCAACATTTGAATATTTTTGCATTAAACAAAGTGTCACACCCATCATGCAATAAATAAATGTTGTAAGTGTCATTGATCCTATTAGACCAATAGGTATATCTTTTCCGGGATTCTTCGTTTCCTCGGCCATTGTGGAAACCGCGTCGAATCCTACATAAGCGAAAAACAAAACTGCCGCGGATTGGAATATTCCTCTCGTTCCAAAAGGTGTGAAATCAGAATAATTTTCAGCATCGGCTTTCGATAAACCAGCAACTATGATGAACATTAGGATAATGAGATGTGATATTGATGCAATGTAGTTTAAACGCGAGGAACCCTTTGTGCTGAAAACGGCAAATGTGTAAGTAGCTGCTAGAACAAAAACAGCAATAGGGTCAAGCTTGTTGTAGTCGTGTGAAAGGGAATGCGCTACGATGACAAATTTGTCTGAACTTTGGTTGCAAAGTGTTGCGAAATAGGATGTCCATGAACGTGAGACTGCAGCGCCACCGATTATATATTCAAGAATAATATTTCCAGACGCTATGAATGCTGCAAATTCACCAAGCTCAATTCTTAGGTAAGCAAAGGAACCACCTATAATAAAGCCATGAAACCACCTTTCAATTAGTCAAAGGTTTTGCCAACACTTTTCAATTGTTGTAAACAAAACAAAAAACATACATACCCGCCACAGGGATTTCCACAGCAAATTCAGTGTAACAAAAAACAGACAACATGGCAGAAAGGCCAGAGACAGCATAGGATATCACCACAGCAGGTCCCACAGTGTCTCTAACCTCAAGTCCTGTTAGAACAAATATGCCTGAGCCAATGACACTGCCCATGCCAAACCATATCAGATCCCACCAAGATAGTGTTTTCTTCATTTCATGCTGACTTCGTTTTTTCACATCCACCAACTCAACCTCGTCATTGGATCGGGCTGTAACTCGATCCAGTAGTCGGAGTGGCGTGTTCAAGAGAGCTCTCCCATAGTTAGTAATGTTCTCAAATGACTCCAACTTTATTGGTGCAGGGACAACATTTCCTTCTCCTAATCTTGAATTTCCATTAGCTTCTTCCATTCTATAAAAGATTGTCCACGCATAAATTGATACGACTCTACTCAGAAAATGAATTAAAAGTTTGATCTAAAAACGTGTAGATAAATTTGATATATAACACTCACATTGTTGCTCTGTTCATCAATAATCATCATGTACAAATCACCTTTGTTTAAAATACTTTTGTTTCTAATCAACCTAAAATAAATACAAATGTATCTTCTAATATTTAAATTAGAAGGTTCTAGAAATTAGATGCATATAACAATGTGTATTCAAATTAAATATATTTTCTAAGATTTCAAATAAAAAGTATCATCAAAGTCTAGCCCATAGTAAGTTTTAAAATACCAAATTTCGTTCATGCTTGTTGAGGAATGTGTTTGTGTGTGAGACATTTTTAGTGAAGAGAGAAAGAGAGAGAATAAACAAGTGCTTTTCACTATAATCAGAACCTGATTATAACTTGCTTAGACACACCAGTCCAAGACTTCCTTTCTCAATTACACTTGAAAGAGACTTCTTTTCCTAAACTCACAGTTCAAGACTTCTTTGCTCAATCACACCCTAAAAGAGACTTACTTGCCTAAACTCACAGTTCAGGACTTCCTTACTCAAACACTTAGTCTGAAACTTCCTTGCTCAAACTCATTGTTTAAGACTTTTACAAATTCTAAACAAACTGTTCAGGATTACAACAAGATGTACTTGATATACAATCAGAGGTTCAAATAATACAACACAAGCAAAGACCTTGCTATTTGAGATTTCTAGGATATACAAGTGTAAGAAAATCTCAAATCTATGTGTAATAAAACAACTATGTACTAAAGCTTAGAGAGTGAAACAAATCTTGCAATATCTTGTTGTCTATTGTTGTTCTTGTTGTTGTTCTTCTTTTGAATCTTTAAGTACTTTAAGTACCATCAAAATCTAAGGAGAATGAACAGATTTTGTTCCAAGAACCTCACCTTTTTTGATGATGACAAACATAAGTATTTAAGAACAATGGTTGGCCAATTTAAATAATTTAACAACTCTAGAATCTGAGGTTTGTAAGTTTTCGCTGAGTCTAACAGTCCATAGGTTGAGTTTTGTAAGCTCCCCCTAAGTTCTATCCAGATTATTTAAACTAGTTTTAGTAACTTGACAACTACAGAGTCTAAGATTTGTAAGTTCTCTTTGAGTCTGAGGTTTGTAAGCTTTCTGAGTTTGATAGTTCATAGATTGAGTTTTATAAGCTCCCCCTAAATTCTCTCCTAGTTATTAAACCCTTTTTTTAAAATAAAAATAAAAAATAAGCACATAACATAAGTTAATTAAAGTGGGTTCAAGAACTTGATAAAAACATAGAAAATGTATTTATCAAACTCTTTAAATACTTTCATATTTCTCCCTCTTTCTCATCAACAAAAAGTAAATAAAATATAGTAGATAGAGAAAAAGATACTGAATAGTAAATACACAAACATAGTTGATGTAAATGTTGAATATTAATAGAACAAACTATGAAGCAAAAGAAGTTTAGAGTATCAAAAAAATGGCACAAAGAAAACATAAAGGTTCTAGATCCTAATCCTAGGATTTCTTCAAAAGTTCCAAAATAGTCTTCAAATCAGATCCCATTTTCTCTTGCTTAGCATCCATACAATTGAGTTGAGCATCCACTATCTCTTGATTATCAGATAGATTGGATATATGAGACCTCGTGTCTTGAATTTGAGTGCCCGAATGAACTTGAGAGTTTTCCACAGAAGCTAATATAACCTCAAGTTGAACTCTCATTTGATTTGCTGAAGCAACAACTTCAGACGAGAATTTTTTCAATCTATGTATGATTGAGTCAACGGAGAGTTTGAAATCATCCCACCTTACACCATAGGCTACGATATCAGAGGTGTCATGTCTATCATAGACTAGACATTTGATCTTGTTATAAAACTCAATTCTGAACTTATCCATTTGAGAAATAATATGGAGAGGTGTGGCTTGATTTATGTTATTTATGGGTGAGGTAGATGGAGGAGTGGGGGTAAGAAGAATGTGATTGGTGTCATTTTCAGTTCCAGAGAGTTGTTTTGTGCCATCTTGTGCCACATGAGCAACTTCTCTTACTAGATATGAGGGCTGAGGGTTAGAAACATATTCAATTTGTGGCTGATTTTCTGGGTGAGTGTCTATTTGAATTTATTCAGATTCACCATATCCAGGTTCATCAATATGATGACTCTGAGTATGTTATGCTGAAGAAGTGGATGGTTGGGAGTTAGAGGGTTGAGGTTCAGCAGGAAAAACTTTTAGAGGTTCAACTAAAAGGGGTGGTAAAAAAATTTGGTCAGACGGTGGTTCGATTTCAGGATGTTTTGAAGAGACTTCAAATAATGTGTCAAAGGTTTTTTGAATCAGTGAAAGGTCATAAGTATCTTGGAATGGTGATGGTTGCATGGATATGAATGATGGTTGATAGAGTATTATGGCCAGGTTATTTGGTGGAGGTGGGTTGTTTGGTGAAGATAGGTTGTTTGGTGGAGGTGAGAGAGAGTATGGTTTGAGTAAAAGGATGTTGAGGGTAGGAGACTTTCTCATTTATGGTGAAGAATTCAGAGATAAATCAAATAGAGGATCAAGAGAGTCACATGATATAACTTCAGCAGTCACAGGCCCTACTTCAACATCCACATAATCCTTAACCATCTTATCAACACCTGTAGTAACCATACCTAAGACAATCTTTTCAGAGTCTTTAGGAGTGATTGTTTGAGTTCCAGCAATAATCTCTTGAACAAATTCAGTAACCTCTGAGATATGGTTATTGATTCATATCTTGTTCCCAACTGCTCCCTTAGAGCCTTTTCAGCACCCTGGTTAATTTCATCAGCATGAGGTGTAGCCACTTCTGTAAGAACCTTTGTACTTGCAATGATCATAAATGACATAACAATGCCCACCTGTTGTCTAACTTTTCTTATTAGAGAAGCTTCTTCTTCAACATCTTCATCTTCAAGAAAACTACTACTCTTGCCCTTTTCTGAATAGGAGCAGGAGTTGAACTCTTCTTCTTTTCAGGAGTTCTACCACTCCTGGTCTTATTTGGCAAGACCACTGTTGAGGAATCCACTTCTTCAACTTCTTTTCTCAGAGCCTTCTGAGCATCACTAAAAAGCTTCTTTTCAGCAGGCTTTTGAGAAACTCTTCCTTTATATGAATTAGTTAGCTTTCTTTTCTCTTTTTGATAGATACATCAATAAATCTATCTTGTACATTTTCCATGCTCATAGTAACCACAGTTTCTCTCTGGACCATTAAAATGTATTCCCTTATAACTTCAGGATTATCTACTTTGATGATCCCTTTTTTGATAGATACATCAACAAATCTATCTTGTACATTTTCCATGGTCATAATAACCACGGTTTCTCTATGGACCATTAAAATGTATTCCCTTATAACTTCAAGATTATCTACTTTGATGATCACATGAAAATTGTTTATATATGCTCTATTTTCACCAATTTTGATTGTGATTAGATCATCTCAACAATACATATTTCTTCTTTATAATTTGCATGTTAGCCAACACACTTACTAAGAGAATGCTTCCATGGCAAATTTCAAGATTCTCACAAGTCTTGAATTCTTTCATCATATCGATCAGTCTGCACTGATAGAAGATTTCAGAAAGCAGCCTAGCATAAGGAACAATCTTTTTATGGCGTTTCTGACATTCTCTAATAGATTCACATAGATGATTAAATAAGTAGGCAACAAGATTGATGGGTTGTTCAGTGACGAGAAGCCATAGGAAATGCTTGTGGTCCCATGGGATTTGATCAGAACTACGATCTCTTGGGATTAGACAACTGATAATGATCTTGAACAGAAGTTTGTAGTCAAGATACATGTTTTTCACCTTTCCATAATCAGTCTTAATTCAAAGAGAAGTTCTTTGATTTTGGAAGCAAACTCTGACTCATTGTTTAAGTTGATTTGACAATCCCAAAATTCTTAGTTCCCATCCCTTGAGCAATGTTATCCTAAGTGGGTGTGATGTTGACTCCATTGACTTTTGACCTTATCTCAATACAATTGAATTTTTTCAAACTCATTTCTGCCCTTGTTTTTGCCATTTAGGCTCTTGTCATTTTCTACATCATTTCTTTCTTCATCCCTTGTAAAGTATTCATCATAGACTTCAGCCCTTACCCAAAAATCTCTGACTAGGAATGAATATGTTGGACCATTCATAATGTCGAAGTAGTCCATCCAACCTTGTTCTTCAAAATACTCCTTTAGTTTATACATATTTGCAGCAAAGCGATCGAAATCCACAACTTGTTCAATCATTAACTTGAGATCATCTCTTTAAACACTAAGGACATGGGTCTGACCTGTAGATTATCTTCAGATTCTACATCAATAGGAACTAGTGGAGGAGAAGAGGACGCCATTAATGGAGTTAACGGGTTTTCTAGGGTTTTTAGAGGAGCGAAAAGTGTGAGAGACAATGATTAGGGCAGTGAGTGACAATGGTGAGTGACAAAGTGATTAAAAAGAATCTTATAAAATATTTGCAACTGTTGTACCCCAAAATTTTCCCTCCCATATTTCTCAATACATTTCAAGTGAGGTCCTCAAATTGCTCAAGGAAGTCCAAGGGTTGACCAGACAAACTCTCTCCTAAGGCAGTCTACCTAAAATTAGGGTTTCAATTTTCATCTAGGTACTTGAGTCCAAAGGATCAAAAATGCTCACCATTGTCCTAATATGTTCTCAAAATCATCCATGTCAAGTTTCAATCCTTGCAGAGGAAGTTTGCTCAGTCAATTGCTCAAAGGCCTGAAAATCGATTGTGTTAGGGCAAAAGTCAACTGTGTCCTACATATAGTCAAACTTCAAGATTTTTGGTCAACATTCTCATTTTGAAGTATTATTCATCATTTGATCAAGGGATGATCATGATTCCTCAAGGATTGCTCACAGTTCATCAAAACCCAAAAGTTGCTAAATTAGGGTTTTGCAGG